GGGGGGGGCTCTGGTAGGTCCTGCCTCTTTACTGTCCCTCAATTGTTTCTGTCCGTCTGTCTGTCTTACTTTTCCCTCAGCACTAAATAACCACTATTGTGCCGATGTGCTTCTTTTTACTCAAACAAACCAACAAACGTGGGTGGTTGGCGGGAGCTCTGGTGTGGTTTGTTTCTTCTTTCCTATCAAACATATGTCATCTTTATCTCCCCTCGTTCTTTTTTGTTTGTTTGTTACTCTCTTGTAACACCTCTAATCTTCGGCACTTAAATGACCTTATTGTGTTGCAAGTGCCGTAAAACTCTTACGAAAAAAACACACCAAAAAACTCTCTTGTAACACCTCTAATCGTCGGCACTTATATTACGACCTTATTGTGATGCAAGTGCCGTAAAACACTATTTACTAAAGCACAAAACCAACAAACCTACTTATCCCCAGGCGTGCAAGAACTACCTGGACGACGAAGGCTGTGTGGCGTTTTGCCCTCAGGCCACCAAATACGACGCAGCCACCATGATGAACATAGACAACCCGGACGTGAAGTACGCCTTCGGTTCTGTGTGCGTCAAGGAGTGCCCTGGTGAGTCCTGTGTGCAAGAAAAGAACTGACGTGGCCACTGCCTCTTCAAGGCAAACGCCTGTGTCATAACTGCCTCTTATAAAGGGGACCGCCTGTTTAGTGACTACCTCTTATATAAAGGGAACTGCCTGTTTAATGACTACTTTTTATATAAAGGGAACTGCCCGTTTAATGACTTCCTCTTATAAAGGGAACTGTCTGTTTAATGACTATCCTGATAAAGGGAACTGCTCATTTAATGACTACCTCTTATAAAGGGAACTGCCTGTTTAATGACTGCTTCCTAAAAAAAACGACTGCCTGTGTAATGACTGCCTCTTCAGAAAGCTACTTTTATAAACTGCCTGTTAAATGATTACCTCTTTTTGAAGGCTACCTTTTTAAACTGCCTGTTCAATGATTACCTCTTTAAAAACGGACTGCCTCTCTAAAAGGTGGCTGCCCGTTGAATGACTACTTCTGTAAAAGCAGACTACTGTTTTAGTAAAGGGAGGCAGCCTTTTTTAAGTGACTACCGCTTTAAAAGACATCTGTCTCTTAAGGTGACTACTTCTTTCAAAAGTTACTGTATCTTAAGGCGACCACTTGTTTAAAAGAGGACTGCCTGCCTTTTTGGCAACTGCACAGTATTGGCAACAGTTCTCTTAGGAAATAGTAATGAACTTATTCCAATGTATATTATTAACATCTGAAATGCAAGGACAATGGCTTTTTATTTGTTTTGTTAAATAAATAAAATAGCTATGTATATGGCCTCTGTCAATGACCGCTGTTTTGATATATTCCTTGATACTTGGACTTAAACAACAAACGGGCTCAAATGGAAAAGACTGTCTTGATATGATATAATACGTTTTTTTCTGCTTTTAAAGAAAACTTTGATGGCTTGATGACGCCACTGATAGATTCTTCTTCTATGTTTTCCATCTGTTATTTCTGTCTGCCATGCTTTTTGTTTTGCTGCTCATAAAGAGAAAAGAATAAGAATCGACATAGTCTGTATTATGATGTAACAAACAGAACATTGCATTCCCTGCTTCTTATCTCCACCCCCCC